GGAGTAGCATATTGTTGACAGGATCAGTGAATTACTAGCAGAAGTAGCTCTCTCTATCAGATAAGTAGGAGGTAGACTCTGACAAAAGTATAATGATACTATTTTGGGAAATTGCCATTGTTAGAGAGACGTTTTGATGTTGACGAGCAACAGAGAGACATTCTGTTGCTGGCGACAGTAGAACCAATGGTACTTGAGGAATTTGAGTTCGAAACGATCATTGAAGGTTGGATGGCTATAAATTCAATCAAAGAGAAGTAGTGGAGTTGGGTAGAAAAGAACAAAACTAGTCTATTGCCTTGAGTACTCTTCTTTGCTTTGTTCTTGTTGGTAATAGTTGATGAGACTAGCAAATATCACCTAAAGGGGTGTGAATAGGTGATTTGAATGCTCATTGATCGATTTTAATACGAAAGTGATTGATCTCAAGTAAAGTCTGAACAATGTTTAGATTTTAGTAAGACTTTGAATGCCAAACAAATAAATGTGCAATAAAAGGAGTTTTAGGGAAGAGAGAATATGCACACAGATGTATAGTGGTTCGGTTTAGATCAAGCCTACGTCCACTCTCCCATGTTGACAACTTACTGAATGGATTTCACTAGATGATCGATTAAGAGCTTACAAGTTCTGAGTGATATTCAGATGGATCACTCTATCTCTCTTGCAATAAGTCTCTCAAGATCACAAATTTTAGCTCAGGAAAAACAAGTAAAAATTGGTCAAAGTTTGCTCAGACTTTGAAATGGATGATTTTGGATTTTGTCTCTCTACTTTTGCTCTTTGACAGTTTGTCTCTTTTTATACTCCTCCACTTCCAAACTAGTCGTGGGACAGTTTTCAGAGGATCATCTTCCAATCTTCTCCTTAGACAGATTTGTATAAGAAGGATTGACTAACCATTGAGTGACAAAGTTTGAATCCTGCTAATTCCGATCGCCCATACAATCAGAACTTTGGTTTCCATAAACAGAGCTTCTCCATTTGGAAATAAACTTGTCATGGGATTGATTGTCAATCAATTAAGGACATCCTGCAATATTAATGTTCCTTGCAAAATAGCCTTTTAAGATCGAATCAATCAAGACTTTCCATTTGTGAAACCCAAGCCAGATTACTAGCCATTGCATTCATTCTGAATTAACGATAAAATCTGAATAAGGTTTGATTCTTGACTCGCCTTTAGAATATAAGTCAGGGTGAGTTGTCCTTTCATTTCCAATCATAGCATGAAATTCTTCAACCGTTGTACACAAAGTTTGAACTTTGTTTGTTGCTGTGTAGAATTTAGACTTTTCCTTCTGATCATCGTAAAGTCTGAACATCCAGAAAGTGACTTCTTGGACTTAGAAAAACTTCAAAGATATTTGTTAGACTTTTAATAACTCCTGGACAGTTTTGTCAATTTCAAAATATATTATGAGGTTTTCTCAACAATAGCTTTGTATTCCTGATAATATTTGTGTGAGGTGTCACTAGTTGTGATCGTGATAATAGCAAATGTACAAGAGTGATATAGGTACTTGTGTCATGATAGTGTGATCTATTATTTGATAGGAGCAATACATGCTGATTGTGACTTGTCTTGAAGATTACTAGTGGATCATAACCTTGTTGTGGCTGTTAGTGTGGAGAGTTGACGTAGGCTTGGGGATAAAGCCGAATCACTGTAAATCTCCATGTGCTATCTTCCATCTCCTTACTATTAGCATTATGTACTCATTATTATCATTATTTGTTTGATTGTAACACACACACTTGATAATTATTGATCTGTTTCTACTTCTGTCAAAGTTTAACTTGTTGTAATCCACAAAATTTTTTCATAGTTCTCATGCAACCTATTCACCTTGCTTCTAGGTTGTATCGTTAGCCTCAACAATTGGTATCAAAGTTTTATTGATTGTTATTTAAAGTGTTTTCCTTTTGAGCATAAAGATTCTTTATGGATAACATTATGGATATAGAGAATGGAAGTGTTTATCCGAGGCAAACGAGATTACTATGTGGGATATGGTTGAGAATTAACCAGCAGTACCTCCACCGGCTAGACCTCTAGTTCCACCAACGGGATAAGAAGTTCCACAAGCTCCACGTGTTCCTACTCGTGAAGAGATTGAAAGAAGGCTTCAACTAATGCTAAAGCTATTTACTTTTTATATTGTGCATTGTCTGCATCTGAATTTTATCGAACTTCTTCGTGTACTACAACTAAAGAAATCTGAGATGGACTCCTGGTTATTTTCGAAGGAACAAACAGTGTGAGGAAAATGAAGATGAACATCCTGTTTGGAAATTATGAGACATTCCAAATTGAACCACATGAAGAAATTGAGGAAATGTCTATGCACTACAATGACATCACAAATGGGCTTGTTGAACATGGAAAAATCTATACAAAATGAGGAACATACAATCTGATGGGTTTTGTGATCATTGGGCCGCCCATGTTGGGCCAAACCCAGCCCATTAATCTTGAAAGAGCCCATAAGAGAGAAATAACCGCCGAGGCAGTTATTTGTGAGGTAGTTATTTGTGAGGCAGACATGTTACGTACATTCTGTCAATTGGAGTGTGTTTATTCTAAGAAAAAACAAGAAACTCTCTCACTCAAAAAGGAAAAAGGGCTCTCGCTCGACGATCGAAGAATCGTACTCTCTCGGTGTTGCAATTGGAGCATTTAATCCGTGAAAAACAAGGTACGTCCTTCTTGGTGATGTACTTTAGACGATCGGTGATTCAAGTTTTTCGACTGGGCACGTTTTCGGATATGTTTTCGGTGTTATTCGATAGTTCGAGTTTCCGTTTTAGAATGTGTTTTCGAGATTGTGTTTCTCAACATTGGTATCAGAGCATGTGTTCTTGTTTCCTGATCGTTTAATATGCTTATTACACGGATTGATGGCCGAAATTCGTGAAACGGCACCGACGAACGCTCGGGTATGAAAACCGACACCCGACCGTACTGTTCGGGATCGTTTCTCTAAATTTCGTGTGATAAATTTTATTTTTTATGGAATAGGGTCGTAGTGCTCGTCGAGACGAGCAAAATGACGGGTGGCACGCCGCCGGGGGAGGCCGGCAGCGCCTCCACGCGCCGCCGCAAGCGGCGGCTACGCCGGCATGTGCATCGCACTTGCGCAGCGGTTACCGCCGCGCACGTGCGCCGCACGCGCCATGCGTGCGCGTGTGGGCGTGGCTGACGTCACACTGACGTTAGCCACGCCGGTTATATTTTTTGGGCCGAAAGGCCCGGCCCGGTATGCCGGATATGATTGGTTTGGTCCGATCCGACCCAGTTGCTGACCCGTGACTCGACCCTGCTTACCCGTTGAACTGACCCGGTCATTCGTTGACCGTTGACCGGCGTTGACCACCGTTGACCTGCGTTGACCACCGTTGACCGGCGTTGACCACCCAAAAAAAAAATTTGGTACTGAAAGGGGGCAGAATGTGTTTCTTGCAATATTGTATCATGGATTAAAAAGTAATCCTTTGAGTTTTTTTGCATTTGTTGCAGGAACGATGGTACGAAGATGTCAAACCCCCATTATGGCTAGGACGCCTGAACAGAAGGCAAAACTTGCAGAGTTGAGAGTTGAATTAGATAACTATCGATGGGAAAATGGCAATTTGGAGGATCACGTGGTCAAGGTCAATGAGATGATACAGAAAATCATTTGGAACGGTTATTGTATGCCGAACTTTGAGAAGATGAATGTTTTGATCAACACTCTTCCATCTGAATGGAAAAAGGTGTTGCATCAACTATGGAAGGTCAACGTGGTTCCAGCCTACAAAAAACTCTCAATGGATTTTGTGAGAGAATATTATAGGATTGAGACAACAAAGATTTCGACCCTAGGGATGAATACAACTTGGCGAAGAATAAATGCGCCATGGAAAAAGCCTAAGGGATACCCGACAATCTTTTCTTGGTTGCCAAAGAAGAAGATTGATTTTTCTAAGAACTTTGATGAATCTTTCCCTGTGTATAGGAAATTGATAAGCCATTGATTTTATTTTATTTTAGTTTGGTTTTAGATAACCTAGGTGGATAGTACTCTTCATGTTGGTATTCATGTTTCTTTTCTATGCTAGATTCGTTCCTTATGTAAATAGTTCTTAGTGAATGAATGTTGATGGATATTTTTTTATTGTGAATAGTTTATGGTACTATTCTATCATAATATCTGTCTTATTAAAATCATGTGGTTGAGTGGGAGTTCTAAAAGTTTTAGTAACTTTAAAGAACGTAATTTTACCTTAATGATTATGTTAACGATAATTTCACATTAGGATTTTAGATGATGATTGGGAACATAGTGAACTTTCGAATCTAAAACCTAAATGAAATTATTCATTAATATAATCAGTTTGTGTAAAATTGATGCATAAATAAGTGGCATTAATAATTCGTGCTTGTCTGTCTGATATGTTCAGATTCAATGGCTTCAGCAACTAAGAACATAATAGCTGAGTTGAACAAAGGAGAGAAATTGAACGGCGAGAATTATGAAATATGGAACATGAAAATCCAATATGTGCTAGAAGAACAAGAAGCACTAGAAGCTCTTAACCAACTTATGGAAGAACCTGAGGATGGGAACACTGCATAGCATAAGAGAGACAGAGATGCATTTGCTGTATGGAAGAGGAAGAACTCGCTTGCTCGCATCACGTTGTTGAGTAGCATGGAGAATGATATCATGCGAGAGTTCAGGCATTTTGAGAATGCCAAGGAAATGTGGGAAGCATTAGCAGCGAGATTTGGTGATACGTCGGTGATCAAGCTGAGACAGCTCACTATAAGGTTTGACTCGTATAAGAAGCCTTATGGTCAGTCCATGAAACAACACCTGAGAAAGATGTCGAACATGATCGTTGAGCTGAAGGATGCTGGACACATTCTGACTGATGAACAGCAAGTGCAAGTAGTGATCCGTTCCTTGCCTCAAAGCTGGGAGCACATGAAGGTGCACCTGACCCATAATGAGAACATCAAGACCTTTGAAGATGCCATGCGCCATCTCGAGTTAGAAGAGGATCATCTCCTGGCGGCGAAACCAGAAACTGACATCTATTATGCTGGTTCTAGCTCACATGGGGCTTCGAGCTCCAAGCGCAAGCGCGTCGAAAGGTTTATGAAGTGGAAAGGCAAGGGAGCAAGTTCTTTGGGTAAGAAACCAAAATTTAATCAACAAGACAAAGGAAAGCGTTCTTTTGTTAAGAAGATGTTGAGGGTGAAATGCTACAACTGTAGCAAGAAGGGCCACTTCGCTCGCGATTGCGGCGAGCCAAAGAAGGTAAACTCCCCTTGCATTCTTGAGAACTTTGCCTATGTGTCAAGTTCTGTATTTTTAACTGAGTCTAATCCTTTGTGGACTGTAGATTCGGGAGCAACAGACCATGTAGCGAAGGACAGAGATGCCTTCGTGGAGTTTCGACGGGTTCCGACCGGAACAAAATGGATCTATGTAGGGAACAACTCCAAAGCTGAAGTTAAAGGAATTGGCACCTGCCAGTTGATGATGCGTGGTGGACGAACATTGTTCCTACATGACGTATTATATGCTCAGGAGATTCGTCGGAATTTAGTGTCTGTGTTAGTGTTGGTTAAACTTGGTTTTAATTTAAACTTCCATAATAGTGGTGTTGATTTGTATTTGAATACGAATTACTATGGTTGTGGATACTTTCTAAATGGTTTTATTGTACTAGATGTTGACTTTGGTGACGTTAACGTTTGTTATTCCCTATTTACATCTTCCAACTCTTATGAAAATGATGTGAATGTGTGGCATGCTAGACTTGGTCATATTGGCCAACAGCGAATGCAAAGATTAGCCAAAGAGGGCTTATTAGGCAATATTGAAAAAGTTGATTTGCCGATTTGCGAGCATTGCCTGGCGGGAAAAACAACAAGGAAACCATTTGGAAAGGGTACAAGAGTTGAGTTTCCTTTGCAACTAATCCATTCTGACATCTGTGGTCCAATGAATGTAAGAGCAAGGCATGGGGCTGTGTATTTCATCATATTCATAGATGATTGTACTCGATTTGGATATGTCTATTTGATTTCTCATAAATCTGAGGCATTAAGTTGCTTCAAGAAATTTATGAACTTAGTAGAAAATCAATTAGATAAGAAAATAAAAACGTTTAGATCCGATCGAGGTCGAGAATATTTATCTGATGAGTTCAGAAATTTATGTGATGAAAAAGGAATAGAAAGACAGTTGTCTATTCCATATACTCCTCAACAAAATGGTGTTGCCGAGAGGAGAAACAGAACCCTATTGGAAATGGTTAGGTCTATGATGGCACAAGCTAACTTACCTATCACTTATTGGGGTGATGTTTTGTTAACTGCTGCATATGTACTTAACCGTGTGCCTTCTAAATCAGTTACTTCCACTCCGTATGAGTTATGGACAGGTAGAAAACCCGATTTAAGTTTTCTTAAACCTTGGGGTTGTGCTGCTTATACTCACGAGCCCTCTCACAAGTATGGGAAACTGGGTCCTAGAGGCAAGAAGAGTATTTTTATTAGATACTCAGAGCACTTGAAAGGGTATGTGTTTATAGGTGAGCAAGAAAGTGGGAGTATTACTGAATTTGAATCACGAGATGTCACATTCTTAGAGAATGAGTTTCCTAAGAAGGGCGAAATAGGTGAGGACTACTCACTTTTTGAAACCTTGGATCATGATAATGAAATTGATGAAGATCGTCCAAGTGGGAGCAATGTGAGAAATGAGGAATTAAATTCGACTCAATCTCAATTGCAACCGTTTGGTGAGACGATACCATCATTATCTAATCCAAGTGGGAGCGTAAAGGAGAGTGATGTACCACGTGCACAATCTTCCGTACGGCGAACAAGTCGCAAAAGTGTTCCCCGACGACGTTTTGACATTGAAGGGGAAACTTTTATGGTCGCTCCACAAGATGAAGATGAGCCAAGGAATGTAAATGAGGCTTTAAATTGCCCTAATAAGAAAAAATGGATAGATGCAATGGAAGAAGAAATGGAGTCAATGAAATCCAATCAAGTTTGGGAATTGGTTGATCTTCCGAAAGGACGCAAAGCTATTGGGAACAAATGGGTTCTCAAAATAAAACGTAAATCTGATGGCTCAATAGAAATATATAAAGCTCGCCTCGTGGCGAAAGGGTATAATCAACAGGAAGGAATTGATTATGAAGAAACTTTTTCTCCTGTAGTGAGATTTACCTCAATTCGCCTTATTTTGGCAATAGTGGCAAGTATGGATCTTGAATTACATCAAATGGATGTAAAGACTGCTTTTTTAAATGGAGAATTAGAAGAAGAAATTTATATGGAGCAACCTATTGGCTTCATTGTGAAAGGCCAAGAACAAAAAGTATGTCGACTTATGAGATCGATATATGGCCTTAAGCAGTCTTCAAGACAATGGTATACATGTTTTCATAATGCCATAGTGGCGTATGATTTTACAATGATTGATGAAGATCATTGTGTATATATCAAAGGATCCAAAGATCAATTTGTGATCTTATCATTATATGTTGATGATATACTAATTGCCGGAAGCAACATGGAGTTGGTTAATACTGTTAAGAGTTGGTTATCGTCCAATTTTGAAATGAAAGATATGGGTGAAGCTACATATATTCTTGGAGTTAAGATTTCAAGATATCGTTCCAAGAGATTATTGTTTCTTTCGCAAGAGACTTATATCAATAAAGTTCTTGAACGATTTTGTATCCATGACTGTAGACCCATTGATACTCCTATTGCAAAAGGTGAAGGATTGAGCCGTAGGTTGTGTCCTAAGACTCCACAAGAAAAGGAACAAATGAAACGCGTTCCTTATGCTAGTGCTGTTGGGAGTTTAATGTACGCTATGATGTGTACAAGACTTGACATATGTTTTGCAGTTGGAATGGTAAGTAGATACCAATCCAATCCAAGTCAAGCACATTGGAAAGCCGTTAAAAGAATCATGAGGTATCTAAAGGGTACTAGTGATTATTCTCTGAGTTATCAAGGAAAGGATCTGCGACTTGAAGGCTGCTCAGATGCTGACTGGGGAGGAGATTTAGACGAAAGGAAATCTACCTCTGGATTTGCATTCTTACTGAATAATGGCGTCATATCTTGGAGCAGTAAGAAACAAACATGTATAGCATTATCCACAATGGAAGCCGAGTTCGTGGCATTGTCAGCAGCAGTACAAGAGGGAGTTTGGCTTAAGAGATTTTTGGATCATTTAGGTGTTGTTGAGCATGCTGCAAGCTCCTTGTTAGTCAATTGTGATAGCCAAGCAGCGATAGCATACACCAAGGATCCGAAATATCATGGCAAGACCAAACATATAGATACCAAGTACAATTTTGTTAAAGATATGGTAACACGAAAGGATGTGAACTTGCAGTACATATCTACGCATAGGATGATCGCAGATCCTATGACGAAGCCAATTCCTAGAGATGTTTTCAATGGTCATGTAAAATCTCTAGGACTGCGTAGATGCTGATGTACTGAATATTGTAATTTTCCTTAATGTTCACATTTAAATGAAATTGTTATATCATTGTTAATGCCTATGAATTTATTTTATTTATGCATCTTAATACTTAGTGTATTATGTTAAGAAAGTATGTCGGACAGATAAGATTAACCCACTCATACGAGTAATCGCCTCTATTTACTGTGTGATAAATAGAGATGAGACAATTTTAAGCTTATTATCTAGGTGATAATCGAGAGCTCAAGCTTAAAATATAAATGTCGCCTTAGCTAAGTGCTAAGATGAGGACATAAAATTTACTATGTCCGAAAGTAAAATAGTCCACATATTTTACTTTATTTGTCTTTGATGCCAGATATGAGTTCTAATGGATTCTTTAGAAGAGTAGATACGTGAACTTAAGTTTAGACATTGAGTATGTCTGAACTATCATCTGTACGGTATTGAATGTAAAGACATACGCTCCATGGGAAAGGAGTTCATACCGTAATACGTATTTCATACTACGTATGCATGAGACGACCGATAAGAGTGGCAAAAGTTCTTAATCTTAACTTTATGCCGTGTGAGACTCTTGAGGATACAGAGTTCCTCATTTAGTGCCCTCACGACTCTGACTTATTCTCAAAGTTTTTATTTAGTGTTCGCTATCTTAGGGTGTTGCCAATGGTCATGAATGATTCGATCTAATGGGGCATTTCTAGAAAAGCGTGCTGGACTGAAATAGAGAGGTTTAAGGAAAGAGGAAGATCAATTTATTTATAATGTCACATTCTATTTTTGTATTCACAGGTCAATCAATTATGATTTTAAGTAAATCATAGTTGTGAATACAATATACGAGATACTAAAAGAGATCAAAAGAGATATAAATGTGACTGATTGATCTAGGGTACTGCATACTATATCTACTCGAAAACGTTATGCCCAAATTTGAGCTGTTATGTATTCTTAACAGATGCATGGCAACGAGCTCTCGAAGTATGCTGGTCGCACGGATTATTTGCTAGTATGAACACTGCAAAGAAGAGAGAGTTATGTTTAGCCCACCATGTGCGAGTGGGAGATGATGGGTTTTGTGATCATTGGGCCGCCCATGTTGGGCCAAACCCAGCCCATTAATCTTGAAAGAGCCCATGAGAGAGAAATAACCGCCGAGGCAGTTATTTGTGAGGTAGTTATTTGTGAGGCAGACATGTTACGTACATTCTGTCAATTGGAGTGTGTTTATTCTAAAAGAATGGGTTCATGTGAAAACATCAATCCGTGAAACCCAAAGACTTTCAACCCTTGACTTTGGATAAGCTTATTGGAACTCTCGTTGCTTATGAAATCGCCTCCAACAATGAGCCAAGTAAATCTGAAGGTAACAAGTTTATGGCATATAAAGCTAACACTCGTCATGTCTATTATGAAGGATCGTCCTCCTCCGACAATGATGATAAGGACATGGCCTCAGCAATCCAAGAACTCCAAAAGCTCTTGAAGAGAAACAAGAAATTCTAAAGGCTTAGACGACTCAAAAAGAAGAGAAAATTTCGGAAAGCAAAAGTTTCAAATGAATCCGAATGGGAATCAATTGACAACAACCAATGTGAATAACACCACTAGAAGGTAGATATGAGCACTGTCCAGGATCTGTAGAAGATTATTGTCGAATCTGGTCCTATTGAAATCCTAATGTTATCAACAAAGGATCTCAAGTAAGGATGTGGGGTACAAGAGTACGTGTGGAGAATCATAATAGTACTCGTGTCCTAATAGTGTGATCTATCATTTGATAGGAGCAGTATATGCTAATTGTAACTTATCTTGAAGATTATTGATGGATTCTAACCTTGTTGTGGTTGTTAGTGTGGAGAGTGTAAGTAGACTTGGGAATAAAGCTAAACCACTATATATTTCTATGTTCTATGTTCTATCTTCTATCTCCTTACGATTAGC